ACGTCGAGGGCTCGTCGGATGCATGAGCGCCGAGGTAGAGAAAGTCTGACGTGGTTGGTTTGACCAACGGCGGCGGCAATAGCGAGAAACGTGCCCAGGCTGGTGGCAGAAAAAACAAATAGGTCGGTCGTCGGGTGTCGCCATTCCGAAGGGTTACGGAAGGGCATTGTTGAAGGTGAACGGCGAGCGGGTCCTCGGGAGTAGGACGGGACTTCAGGGCGAGTCAGGGGATACGCTGAGGAAAGTCCGAGGTTCGCAAACTCCTGCCTCACCACAGCTTGTATTAACGCCACTGACGGCTGTTGTTGGTCAGAGGCGCGCGTTGCGAAAACGGGTGGCTGAAGAGGAGCCGGACAGGTGGCTTTGATTTCCCGACGAACAATACGTGTGACGTTGTCATACGTGGGGGACTGGCGGGTGGTTTTACACGATGAGGTCGCGGCCGTGTTGGGCAGCCGGGTGAATCGCTGAGTAATACGGGGACTCTTGGTTTCTTCGAACCGCCGGCACTCTTTAATGATGGCGTCGACGGTGGCAACGTTGTTGTAAACTAGTAGAATAAATGCGTCGTCTGCTATGCCTTTCAGCACGTGGGCCACTTTCTCCGACTCACTCATGTGCTCGTCAATCTGGCGGCATAGGGTGATGACGTCGTGAATGTACGCGACGTACGACTCCGTCGACGTCTGTGCACGGGCCGCCAGTTGATTCCACGCTGCGATCGGCCGTCCAATGGTGTCGCCAAAAAGGTCGCGGATCTTTTCTTTAAAGGAGTCCCAGCTCGTAATCTCCGCTTCGTGCGTCTCGAACCACACGCGCGGTGGGCCATCGAGGTAAAAAAGCACATTGGCAAGCATAAGAGTCGGGTCTCACCTATAGCTTGCACTGACCGGTTCGTACCGGTTCATCCATTTGTCGACGTCAACGCCATCCTGACCGGAAAATACACCGAGATCAAGAGCAGGAGTTAGAACGACGTATGTAGAAGTCACGGTAGGGGCAGGTGGCGAAGACGATGGTTGTTCAACCTGTGACATGGTTGGACTATGATGATGCGGCCGTTGCGGAGCTTCGTGATGAAGACGGGGAAGTACCCAGCACGTCCCCCACAAAGATGTTACGTAAAAATGACACGAGGTGTGTCTATTTAAAATCTATATTCAAAATGATGCGTATGGCGTCGACTAAGATGGAAGCAGCACACGCAATCGACAGACCACTTCCTCGTTCTCGTCTTTTCACCGCTGATACGTCAGCTACGTAGCAATATGTTAGAAATTTGGTTGGAGTCGATTTCATTATCGTTAAATGTCAACAAAAGTGCACTCTTGGTGTACCGCTTGCAGACCCAATTTCAATTTCAATTATATATCAACAGCAACCCATCCATTCAGTAGACTCGATAAAATATTTGGGAATCATTCATAATGAAAAAACTTAACTGGAGTCCACGCATAGAGTATATAACTACCAAGGCACAACGGGCCTCAGGCTTACTGCACAAGCTATGTAACCGGAAATATGGGTTACGGAGGCACACCTTGATAATTTTGTACAATATGTACATGCGCCCCATTAAGGAATTCGGATGCATACTATTCTCGGGTGGCCCTGCTTATAAAACAAAACGTCTAGTTGTCTTGGAGTGAGAAGCACTGTGAATTTATTCTGGGTTGTGGCTATCAACGTACTGTACCAGGAAGCGCGCCTGCCTACACTACTTTGTAAATTTTGCATTTTGACAGTACAAGCTTTTTTAAAATTTTATACCTTACTGGAAAGAAGATCTCAATACGCTTTTGTCGCAAACCCAGATGCCTTCTTTCTTGCTCATTGGCCTCTGTTTCACACCCCCCAGATAATGTTTGTAGAAAAGAATCTACAAAGTTTAAATGTGAACATTAGAAATGTAATTGAGACTAATGACTCGAATTGTCATGTTATAATTGAATATGATGATATTTCCCCCCAAAACGCCAAGTTACAATCTCTCAAATTTTTAAATGACACATTACTAGATTACTTGGAGCATGCAGAAACTAAAAATATCATAGCTACAGATGCTTCAGTAAATAATCAAAAGGCAGGTGTAGGCATTGCCTCTGATTCGCTTGACTGGTTCTTCTCAGTGAGACTGCCTGATTCTACTCCAGTTTTTGAAGCTGAGCTCAGGGCTATCATTCTAGCTCTTCTAAAACTTCCCTCAAATCAAAACAGCGCAGTCATAATGACGGATTATCTTTCAGTTTGTGCAGCTCTGACAGCTTCTGAGAACTCTCGAACTCTAAGGACATTCAGAACATTAGTACACCACAGTTGAGAATTCTCAGGTTACTATGGGTTAAGGGACACTGTGTATTAGGATTAAATGAATTGGCTGATTCCTTAGCACGAGCCGCACTTGATGGCCCAATTTTATCCGTACGCCAGATATTGAATACATTACGGCAACAAGATATCGAAAATCAGCAATGTGCACTGATATGATAGAAAAAGTAACTACATGGTCAGAATATAACCACCTCAAGTTACTATGGTGACCCCACTGGAGCCAGTCCAGAAAGCTCGAGGTTTTAATAACTAAATTCCGATGTCGTGCCCCCCCCCCCCCCCCCCCCAAACCTGTATCTACACAGAGCTGGTCAGACGATATCACCCTTCTGCGCATTCCGCGGTGAAATAGAATCCATGAAACATTATTTTTTGTATTGTTGCCGATACGCTATACTTAGAAGAAGGCTCCTAGTTATTCCATTTCTGCAAATAGGCGTTACATCGACGGCGGAAACTGCACTAAGCTTGTGTCTCAGTTTTGGGACATCACCACAGGGATGCTTTCAATGCGATTTGCGATTATAATCAGGCATCCAAACGTATAACTTTGGGATCTTAACTGAAATAATTATTATTTATTACCCCACCCCCTAAATTCTAAAGAATGAGCTGAAGTAAACACAGCTGAGTGGTAATCGCAACACTTGAAATCTCAAAATTTCTCAACTAGACTTTTTATTTTTTTGTTTTTTTGTTTGCTCTTTCCTATGTGATTTTTCTTACATTAGTCATATCAGAATACAAATTCATTACACATAGTTATAATGCTCACAGAAAAATAAAATGCACTACGCTTTCTTGGCTAATCCCCCATAGTGGGTGCGAGCCATGAGTTCAGGGAAACAAACAAAGAAACAAAATCACTCTCTGAGCTGAAAATTAGATTACAAGTTCAAAAATAAGGTCATCTTTCCTTTGCTTGGAATAATAAATGGTGCCCCTCTCGCAAAATGGAAGTGTGTGTCATGAAATTTTGATTCCAAATTCTGCTTCCTAATTTTTATTTATACAGGTCTGGTCAGGTACTATCTTTCCTTTGCTTCTATTGTGAAGAACTACAAAAACATTGATCATTTATTACTGATTTGCCTGAAGTTTCAGAAGCCATAGGAAGAAATATTTAGCAACTATATACAGAAAATAAAGCATAACTCTTAACTCTGAAATTGTCTTTTCCCTTGGGGCTTATAATCTTGGCCGAAGCAACAGGAGTGTCTGCATAGCAGTTTGTAAATTTTTTGTAGACACAAGAAGGTTTACTTGTAAAGTTTTTACGAATGAAATTCTAGTTCTTTGGAATTATCATTTGTTTGTAGATTGCATTATTAGTTCTTCAACTACTTTATTTGTAGGGAACCTTATGATTGTCCAATTTTATATTCCCAGTATGACTGAATAATTATTTTTTCTTAACCAGTACTTAGAATTGCTTTTGCTATATTACCCTGATCACCGGTTTAACGGCCAGTCTCCCGTAGTAGGTACGAGCTACAGCATAGGTGCAAGCAAAGCAAGCAAAGCAAGCAAAGCAAGCAAAGCAAGCAAAGCAAGCAAAGCAAGTAAAGCAAGCAAAGCAAAGCAAGCAAGGCAAGCAAGGCAAGCAAGCAAAGCAAGCAAGGCAAGCAAGGCAAGCAAGTAAAGCAAGCAAAGCAAAGCAAGCACGGCATGCAAAGCAAAGCAAAGCAAGCACGGCATGCAAAGCAAAGCAAGCACGGCATGCAAAGCAAAGCAAGCAAAGCAAGCAAGGCAAGCAAAGCAAGCAAAGCAAGCAAAGCAAGCAAGCAAAGCAAGGCAAGCAAGGCAAGCAAGGCAAGCAAGGCAAGCAAGGCAAGCAAGGCAAGCAGGCAGGCAGGCAGGCAAGCAGGCAGGCAGGCAGGCAGGCAGGCAGGCAGGCAGGCAGGCAAGCAGGCAGGCAGGCAGGCACGCAGGCAGGCAGGCAGGCAGGCAGGCAGGCAGGCAGGCAGGCAGGCAGGCAGGCAGGCAGGCAGGCAGAGGCAGGCAGGGGCAGGCAGTGGGCAGGCAGGGGCAGGCAGGGGCAGGCAGGGGCAGGCAGGGGCAGGCAGGCAGGCAGGCAGGCAGGCAGGCAGAGGCAGGCAGAGGCAGGCAGAGGCAGGCAGAGGCAGGCAGAGGCCGGCAAGCAAGCTGAACCGGACAGCTCGGCGACCGCTGTTGTAAAGATATCTTGTAAATAGCCTATGGTGCAGGTGACTCCTTAATTGTGTAAAATGTGGCTCTCACCAAGAAAACCCCCGTTAATTAATTATCTCTTGGAGTATACAATGTGACATGTTTTTTTTTTCAAAAGAGGAGTAATGCATATGCGAGAGTCAGGAAATTCGATTGACTTTTATTCTTTTGATGTCTACGTGCAACAGTGATAGCTCAAGAAAACGGGCAACTAAAACAAGAACGAAATAGACCCATAGATATACGACTGAGGCTTTCAAGAATTGTTTTAGATAAACAGATACTTTAGCGATGATCAGCGTTTACTTCTATCTTAACGCATCCGTTTCGTCCTTGTTTTGTCGCGAGCTACCATAGCTATCATAAACCAACTATCCCACCATGCCTTATCGAATTGAGCAGTTTTCTTCTTCACTGCATGCACTTTACATGAGAAATAGTCTTATACTTCAACAAATCGACGAACAACTGCTCCTGACCTGAGAACACTCCACCAACGATGCCGCCGGCGAGCAAGAGGGAACCGAACCATCCCGCGTCCTCCTCGCTGATGTCCAGGGTGCGCCGGATGTCGGGAAGTGCTGGCGAAGAGTACCCGTACGTGAGTCCGGAGCCAATGGTGCCAAAGTACGTGGCCGTCACTGCCAGGTACACACGGCGCCGCCCACCCGATGCTTTGTCCACGACGCTGCCCCTCGCGTCTGTTCTATTGCGGGCAGACCCTGCATCTAGGTGTAATAAGAATTGGGTTTAAAGTCACGATTAGAATATTTATTTATTAAGAAATACTACAGGCCCATACTTTAGCCCAAAAATGAGGGCATTTACAGCAAGAGAGAAGACAAACGAACAAAATATGACGGACACCGTAGTAGAGGGCGCCGAAAATTTTCACAATTTCTCAAAATTTTCGAAAAAATTTCTTGGACGTGAACATAAATCTAACCACACAGCCCTCGCATTTTGCCTTTCCCGAAATCGCGGCAGTCGCCGCCGGGATTCAAGGCCGCGATCTGCGGGCCAGCAGACGAGCAACACAACCTATATAGGCTGACCCCGCCGCGGTGGTCTAGTGGCTAAGGTACTCGGCTGCTGACCTGCAGGTCGCGGGTTCTAATTCCGGCGGCGGCGGCTGCTTTCCGATGGAGGCGGAAATGTTGTAGGCCCGTGTGATCTGATTTGAGTGCACGTTAAAGAACCTCAGGGGGTCGAAATTTCCGGAGCCCTCCATTACGGCGTCTCTCATAATCATATAGTGGTTTTGGGACGTTAAACCTCACATATCAATCAATCAACCTATATAGGCTGAACCAGGGTGGGTTTTCTAACCGTGGTGGGTACATCTCTGTAATCGGAGGAAGTGATGCTCCAGTTATGACACAAGAGCTGAGGCGTTTGATTTCCACGTGACGACAAAATCGGATTCTCTCACAACCAAGCGAACTTGCACATTCGTGAGAGCATGACACTAATGTTTTGTTTTGATCAACAGTGTGCGCTGTGTTATGTACATGCATGCGATACACTTCAATAGTTTTATGTACTTCCCGTTTACTTTGAGGGCTTGGCGATGTCTTTCTTATTTTGCATCGTCTGTTTACCCGGTGCGTGCAGCTATATTTTATAATGACCAATGAACTATAGACTACCAGTACATTTTAACTACAAGAGCGACTTAGGCCTCCGCTGATTGTTTTGGTAACTGTACCTACTTTTACACGAGGCGGATCAAGGCGAGGGCACGGACCTGGTGCCGGTACCTCTAGCTAGCTCCCCATTGAGGACATGTCACGAGGCCTGTGCTCCTGACAGGGTTTCGCTTGCAAGAACTGATCCAGCTTAATTAGTGATGCTTAAGCTAGGTTCTCTACAGCATAACTCGTCCGGTAATTACGCGTACAACACAAATCACAAAAAAACGTGGTTGTACATTATTACAACATAACGGTGGTTCTAAGTTGGAAGTGTGGCAGCTTGGGCTAGTTGGTATGGCATGACGATAGTTATAGCGCGACAAGAAAGTGACCACACAAAGACAAGAAGGACACGAAGGCATTTGAAAGTGAAGAGGTTGGGCAATTATGACGCTATATGAATAAGATCTGGCCAAACAAATACAGGTCCTCAATAATTCTGGTATA